CTTTCAGCTTCACTGACAACATTCGGGTCTACCAATGCCCTAATGCTAAAATCCCTGAAAATTAATCCGAATTCGAGTCCCGGTGAAGGAGCCTGGCTACATAAGTAGTTTGGTAATTTTCTTCAAGTTTAAAGTAAAACTGAGATAGTTTATAAGCTATTTCTCCCGCCTTCTTAGCATGTCTTCGTGGTGTAGTGGTTAGCACGCTCGACGCGTATTCGAGAGATCCGTGGTTCGAATCCCAGCGTGGGCATTGCTCATTTTTCACATCTCCTACTTAAAAATAACAGATAAGATAAAAAAATGGTAAGAAGATATATATATAGTAAGAAGCAAATAAGATAAAAATTTAATATAATGATATTAAATTACCTAATGTCTCTAAAAGTGTTCCGTAAAACTTCCACCACAAAGGAATCCCACCCGTTAGTAAAATAGTTCTCATATGCTTTGCTACAATGAAAATAAACTGAAAGAACATTCTTAGTCATTTACTGAAATATCCACAAAAGTGAGCTTTCAAAAATATTATGCAGAGCTTCGGATAAGAATGAGACAAATATAATTCAATAAAGGTTATATATGGAAAGTTTTCAAGTTATCATAAAAAAAGCCATTTATTTCTTCAAAATAATAGCAGTTTGCATTAAATTCTGGACTTGTTTGTAAAACGGACCCTGATTTGACGAAAGCTATTAAGAGAGAACTGACACACTTTTAAATTTGTGATGCAAAACGGAGGAAAAGTGCTATTTTAAAGGTTCCGAGATAATAGTTAAATATCAAAATCAACTATTTATCAAGTTTTAAAATAGTATGAAGAGCCCGAGAACATTCATATCAACCAAATGTTTGGGGAACATGTCCGTAAAAGAAAGAAATATATCATAAAAGGTACTTAATTGAAAATTCGTCAAGAAATCGGAAATTTCTATCCGTCAAGTTGCTCGAAAATTTGAAATTATTACAATGATCTATTTATTGAAGTAAGGAATGCTTCAGCTTAACGTTTTATGCCAGCAACACGGCTCCAATGTACAAAAGTTATCAAGCAATTCAAAGAACAAATTGCCTTAAAATTTATAAGAGATTGCTTCCATAAGATATAAAGGATATAAATTTATCGTACTGTAGGCTATCGCCATTAATGTTTCATCTTAGTCAGTGGTAGCACTATGTATTATAATTAAAAATCTCTGATTCTATTTTTGTGCATTTCAGGACAAAACCCTGAAGAAAAATTCTTAAACTTGAGAAAGACTTAAATTGAAAAGACTTGATTCTTAAACTGAAGAAAAATTCTCAAACTTGAGAACTTTTCCCAAACTACTTTTTTTTCAGGAAATTGTAAATGTTTTCGCTTATTTAAAACAGTGCTTTAAAAATTTTATTTACTTTGAATAAATGATGTCAAATATGTAAAACGTAACTAAATTAACACTCTTGTTTAATTTTCTTGCCTAAAATTGGAAAAGCTTGCCCGTCTCTCTTAGATCTGAATATTATTTAAATCTTAAATGTTAAGTTCACGTATTTACTCAATAAAAACCTCAAAAGATATTTTTAAGAAAATATTCACTTTATTTTTAAGAAAATATTCACTTATATTTTTTAAGTACGTATCGAAACAACTACATCTGTATGACTTTAGCGGATATGCGGCTTATTATCAAGTAATCAAAACAATACCGATGGGAAACATCCCAGATGTGGACGTTCGTTTCCATTCAAGGATTATTTTTAATGAAGAAACTTTTCCCATGGCTGATAAAATATCGGACTTTGGTTTCATTACTGAAATTTTTCAAGTATAAATACCTCATCCTTTCTCAAGGTGTTACATTTGGGGAAATTACTGGCAAATTTGTAAGTACGCTTTCTTCTTATGCATTTTCAATATTCTTGATGATTTTTTTAAAATTTGTTTGACTAAATTTCTAAATCAGAAATGTATAAAAGATTCACTACGCATTCAAAGCAAACAGGTTTAAAATTAGGTGCCATAAAACATCAAACTGATTTTTGATTAACTCTGCAAATTATCTTGTTTATGTAAATCGTAGGATCAACAGCAAAAACCCGAAATCCATACAATCATTGTTATTAATGCAATCTTACGATTAAATTTAAGTATGATGCGTTTCCAGTGGTATTTTATCTGTAAATTGCTGACTTGAAATTTAAAATAGCAAGCAATGTTACCAGTTGTTTTAAAAGCTTTTTTAATTCTGCGGATAAATTTGAGAAATGGAGCTATGTAGATAAACTCATCTATTTAAAAATTCTAAATTTAGCAAAAAAAAAAAAAAAAAAAATTAAGACAGGTTTTTTTTTTTTTTTTTTTTTTTTTTTTTTTTTTTTCTAAATATAAGGTCTGGGAATTTCCTGAGGCCTTATTCATTTATAAGACTTGAGAAGAAATCATAAGCAATCTATAATCCATAATTTTGCATGTTAACTAATTACTACTATATAGTAGGCCCAAATATAAGACGATTTAATCTCAAGTCACGCATTTGAAAACCATACCCATCGAATAAGAATAATATAAAATTTCAAAAATGAACTTAAAAAATTTACCGCTTATTAACTCTTACGTTAAGGAATACTATTCATTTAATTTTACAGTTTTATTTAATTTTTTGCGCTCATTATAACTCTTTTGGTGAAAGTTAAACCATTTAATTGACTTTCTTTTAGAATACCTTTAATATATCATGCTCATACACGCGAGGCGTTCTTACATGTAAGACCTCTTAGTCTTTCAGAAACCTTGTAAAATTCGAGGTCATCTTGTATGTGACGCCGATTCGTAATCGGGAAACAATCTAATAATTTCATTTATAAAATTTACTATGTATTTTGTAAATATAATAAATTCAAGAACAGATAATTAATACACTATGTGAGATTTAATCCCCTTCTGTAAATAATAGACCAGATACGAAAACTTCTTAAAATTATATTCTCAAAAATTTGACATAATATATTTTTATTCTGGTTCAAATTTTGCAATGTAATTTTCGGAACACGGTAATTTAAGAAGAACTTCGTTTAATTACATACTGATAAATATTAAATAATAAATTGCATGCTAATAAATATTAACATCATGATCTTTCATAATATAAAAAAGGGGGAAACATGGATAGTTACAAATGAAGAAACATTTCAAGTGATGTATGTAACCAGTAAAATTACGATCGAGTAATCAACTTGAGTGCATTATGCAATGTTTATATACTATTTGGTTATTATATGCCTAAAAGTATAAATATTCTAATTTTTTTTTAATTTTCTTTCTCGTTTGAATATAAAATTAGTTAAATCAAAGAAATATTTTAAGCTTTTTTTGGGCGGATTTCTAATAACGAGTAAAAAATACAAGCTATGCTAAAGTTTCGTCAAACTTATGATGCCTTTGATGCCTTTTCAACATTATTTAACATTAAAATAGTTATTTAGAAACCTTATCCTTTGTAAATTAATACTCAGGTACTTAGCCAAAGTACTACACGATCATTGGTTTTTATGCGAGTTGCGAGTAGCCTTCCGCTAGTATCTTATACTTATTTTCTACTAGTAATTCCTTAAAAAGGCAATAAAAATGTCCACATGACTGAAAAATACTGCATATGAGCGAGAAATCATTTACTATCTCTCATCATGAAACAGCAGCTGAAATGTTTTTATACAATAAATATTAAATAGTCACTTAAGCCTTGAATTTATTGCTAACCACTGCAAAAGTTTATTGTATCGTAGAAGTTTATTGTCAGAGAACAAACTTTAATGTTCGTATGCAAGCATACATTCTAAGAAAACACAGCATTTAAACGAATACTTAACATTTTGCCATCCATTGTGCTTCCATCTGCTCGCTCTCTTTAAGAAACTACCAAAATTTGGGCCTAGAAAAGCATGAGACAGTTTTAGGGGTAACCTTCAAAGGCTGATCTATGGATGCCAAGAAATGGAACAATACTTAACATTTTGCCATCCGTTGTGCTTCCATCTGCTCGCTCTCTTTAAGAAACTACCGAAATTTATGCCTAGAAAAGCATGAGGCAGTTTTAGAGGTAACCTACAAAGGCTGATCTATAGATGGCAAGAAATGGAGCAATACTTAACAATGGATGGCAAGAAATGGAGCAAATCCATAATTGCAATAAAAGTGGTATGAAAGGATAACTAATGTCAACGATAGAAAAAGCAGAAATGGAATACAGATTAAATTTCAATATTTTTGGGCATGTTCACAGTATTTTAGAATAAGACAGTTGAAAAATAGTTGATGAATTGAATTGAATAATGTTACTGAAGGGCTTGCTTACGTTCTGCTTTAAAATTCTTACTATAATTTAAGTTTATTTTTCACATGGTGCAAACTTTTGTAATAACTGGCTGGACTTTCAAGAACTTCCGGAATTCAGAAATAGTTTCTGGATGTCGATGACCTAGGCCAAGACTGCGCGTTTAATTTCAGAGTTATTTTTTAGTTTTGAAACCTAACTAATTCCGTTTATGAGACTTTCTTGTTGATAGGAAATATACGCAATTTACAGTTTAATTTTATATGCTTAAATGACAAGCAACTTGGTGTTTTTTGAAATAACATCAGATCTTCATGCTTGCCATAAATTAATGCAATAAATAAGGTATATTATCGCGTTTTGTCCCCCCACCCCTTTTTGAATCGCACGTCCTCTTTTACAGAAGAGATGATAACATTTGTTCATGAGATACATTCCCGTGACCTAACTCGTACATGGACTAGCAACATATAATTTTTATGATGAATGTATTCGAGCATAGCAGTTAACAAGTTATGATTAAAAAGAATAGAAATGATTGCGAAAACCAGCAAAATCTATGTTTAAAATTTGCTTAAGAGGAGGGAAGTGAACATAATGTACACTTTTTCATCTCATGTTTGCATTAGTAGCCAAGATTTCCATTTTCCCATACAGATCATAATATTCTTATCTTTCTCTTTCCAGAGCCATGAAGTTTCTCGCAGTGCTTCTACTCGCAGGCTTTGCCCTCGCCTCTGCTATTCCTGTGCCTTCGCGACAAAATGGTAAGCTTCAAAAATTTATATACAGTACGAATTAAGTTTGTATGATTTTAAATATATTTTTACAGAACTGTTATATTCAATAAACATAACTTTTGTAGATTAGAAGTTTTGAAGCATTTTAACATTCTCTTAATCTTACAATTTTATATATATTCATAAAAGAAACAGTGCAACCAAAATATACCTGACATATGAAAATGTATTTCCTTGAAATTCTAATTTAATAAACTTTGTAAATAAAAAAGTAACTAATTTCGCATTGTTCTGTAATTTATCATTTTTGAGCATTTTTAGCATTTTTGAGAACTGTAGAGGTTCTATTAAAGTTAGTAGACCGGAAGTTCTGTTTCATTTCCTGCTTTACCTTTCATTTATTAATATAAAATAAATCCTCTTGAATAAAAACAATTGTTACTCAACTATGTTAATATAGCTGTTACTGGAAAACAACAAGGTGTTTCAAAGCGACGACCGAAAGTAAAATGCTCAGATAGTTAACACTTAGGGCTCTTTATTGATTTATCTTTATTTATTTATTAATTATAACGATTTTGAGTTCGAAATTTAAACACAAATGGGACTTATTCTGCTTTACGACTCTTTTAAAACTTTGTTTCTCATTTTTTAACAAATTTCTTGGTGGAATATTAATTCTGGTCAGAAATATAATGCATTGAACGATATCACCGTTTTGGTACTAAACTAGTTTCATAATAATAATAAAGAATACGTTTTAGCCCAAAATCTCAGAATTTTAATGTAGAAGAAAAAACATTTTTGATTATAATTTATATCAAATACGAGTAATCTAAATATACAACTCAATAGCCGATCATAATTACACTACATTGGCAAAGTGTTTACCAGCATAAACTGAAGGATATTGATGATAAAGTATATATCATACGTTATATGGAAATTTGAAATAGAATTATATTCACAACAATAATATTTGAAATATCCATGTCTAATAATAAAAGATTTTGGCAGATAAACCCAAACATTCCCCAAAATCCGAATTCAATTACTAATGATTTATTGATAGGAATATAATTAAACTGGAAGCTAATTATTGAGAAAAAAGATTTTTTTCGAGTAAAAACGTCTGTTAGATGTCCGCTTTACCATACGATATGCATATAGGGACATTTAATGTGGTGTTCATGTAAAGGGGCTTGTGATTTCTTTTAAACAATTGGCATTCAATTTTGTTAAATAAATATTATAGAACAGATTTGAAAATTTTTCGAAGGCATAGATTATGCAGACTAAGCTTAGCGTAGGCATTATTTGTGCGTAGAATCAGTGCAAAGTAAACTAACGGGAATAAATAAGACAGGAAAAAATTCAGACAGTAGAAATAAAATAATATTTCACGGTCTTGGGTTAAAAAATATTCTTTAAGGCTTTATAAATGACAGCATTTAGTGGAATTTATGAGAACTTATTATCAAACTTATTTCCTTATAATGTATTTCTCCCGCCTTCTTAGCATGCCTTTTTAGTGTAGTGGTAAGCATGCTAGGCGCGAATTCCAGAGGTCCATGGTTCGATTCTCATTGAATTTTATTGTGAAGTATAATTTACTAAACAATGCTTGCTTTTACACTTATTCTTCCATAAAATTAACCGAAGCTTGATTACAATGTAATGCCTTCAAAATTTACTCATTACTCAATAAGGCTTTCAGTTTCAAAGAGTTAATGTCACAGACGTAACAGTTTTAAATCAAAGCATCTAAATAAGCACCGAGGGTTTCAAAGCCACAAAAATTTACTGTCTATGTTTAGTTTGCAAGTAAACTTATAACAGCAAATTATCTCATTTCTCAGTATGACAAATGGCTGACCATATGTCATGAAATTATTATAGAATTTATTTGGCCCTCTCTCTTTTTTGATCTTTATTAAAATAATTAGAATTGGTTACAAACTTAAGCAGAAAAGAAAGATCTTACAATGATTATTTGATTATAAATAAATATTTAAAAATTTAATACTCTCATCATAAATTTCTACAGCATAACAAATTTGTAATTATAAATCTAATCCGTAGAGACTGAAGAAAAGGCTATAGATATGATACCAAATAACTCTATTCTAGAAGTAACCATAAATAATAAAAATCAGAAGGAACTTTTTATTAAACTAACTTTAACGGCAAAATTCGAATGCTCATACATAAAAAATCTTAAGATCTGAGAGTCAAAACCCAAAGTTAGCATTTGTTTTGTGGATAAAACCTTCGAAGGATTACTAAATTTTAGAATTCAAAATAATAATAATGTGAATAACGCTAAGAACCATTTAAAGATTTGTCAGTTTACATTGACATTTCCATATGAATTCTATGAAAGAATTATTCTACAGAAAAATTTATTTCAATATTTCTCTATTGAGTTCTGTAATTGAGTAAGTATAAGCATAAAATTTATATATACCCTGTGCATTTTAAATCGGTCATTAAAATTTCTTTGCCTTTCTTCGGGTAACAGCATAGAAATTAGAACATAAATGAGGTATTCTGCTTTTAAATTTACATTAAGTAAACTAGCTTTAATGTTTCTTTGATTTTTGCTTGTTTTCTTCAAAATTAATATTAATGATATTAATAAAGTTTTTGCATTCTAAATCATAAAACCATATCTGTATTTGAATAATACATTTATGGAAAAAAGAAAATACTAGAAAAAAACTGTCCGTAGATAGATAACATTTTAAAAAATGTTAATATGTCATAGAAATAAATACTGTTAATTATCGTTGGGTAGATTTGCTGAAATGTATTGAAAAAAACAATTATTAAGATGCACTGTGTACATTAAGAATTATTCATATGAAATGACCGAATGTTACGAGTAATTGTTATGCTACTTGTTTGTTTCTTTGTGTTTTGCTACCTTTGATAGCGGCTTTATGTTTCTCCATTTATTTTTATAAATGTTCATTTATCAGGTTCAGATTTATAACACTTTTTTAAATTATGTAAGTTGTAAAATTTTCAAGAAAAGTTATCGACGTAAATTTATTTTCTCATTAAGTCAAATTACGCTTTAGTAAATAAATAAATCTTACATACAGATCTTACATAATAGAATCTTATGTGAGAATGTTATGGAATCTTACATAAGTCTTACGTACAGACAATTATTAATTCAATTATCAATATTCCTCTTTCTTTTTTTTTTTTTTAGCCGTAGATGAGGTTCGTGAACTTCACGAAACTTTACTTGAACTGGCCGCTTTGGAAGCTGAAGGGTAGGTAACAAGTTTCGTTTTGTTTTAATATTTTCGGATTAAATCTTATACCATTTCTTTATTCTTAATTTAAAACTTAAAGGCAAATATTGTAAAACATGACTAACGCTTTGCATATTTAGCATATTTTATAATCTAAATTTATAATTATATTTTTGCAAAATGCTTTTTAAATAATATTTTCGAAAATATTATCTGGGTAATGTCTTTTTATTATTTTTTATTCGATAAAAGATTAACAATTTTTTTGTTGATCGTGCATAAAATTTAATAATTGTAAAATTTAATTTTTTTAACTTAATTTGTAAAATTTAAAAATGTATTAAAGCTGAATAATAATAAAAAGAATCTGAAACCTTTCAGAATTTATATTACTTCCAAAAGGGCGCTTATTTTACACGCTCATGCATACACGTTTCTAGAGCATTTTAGGCTAGGTTAAAAGTACTTAAAAGCAGCATATCTTTCGAATTTTCGATGGACAGTCTAATGCTTTGGAGATAAAAATATATTTTTCCGTACAGTGTGCTGCCACTGCTCCTTTCGAAATCATTGAGTATCTTAAACAAAAAATTTTTAAAGTTAAAAAATATGAAATAAATAATAAAACAAATTCGAAATTCAAGATTCGAGCTCCCAGGTGCCCATATTCGGATGGAGGACCACTTATTCAATATTTGATAGCACTAAGTATCGTTTTTTTTTAAATGCGAGAAATATGCATGCATTCAGGCAGATTCTTCATTATTTAATTCCTTTAAATATAATACAGAGCAATAATATTTGGTGCAACAATTTGAGAAAGTGATACAGCCGTTTATAGTGATCTGACGCAAAATGCATTTTCGAGATTAATGGAACTTCTGCGATAACGTCCCTTTGAGCTAATATTAATACACTCATGTCCATAAATTAAGGATAATGCAAAATCAGGCAAAGGAAGAGTTAGAAGCAAAACAAATTTGACTTATTTGTAAAGCTTATTTATTAAACAAAAGGTAAAGAGCAAAAAAAAGATGATACATGTTTGATATTATTAAACAAATTAGAGATTTTTTCTCCCTGGAGCAAATAACAGAAAAAAAACTATTTACAAAAAACCAATGTTACATGGTTGGTATGATTGCTAATACATTGTATGTCTCCCAGACGATGCAATACAGTCCGTACAATGCCTAGGCATGCTGAGTATCAAATTATCGATCTGATCTTGGGGGATATTACACCACTCAAAAAACAATGCTCTCCGAAGTTCCGGTAGACATGTAGGAGGAGGTTGACGGGCTGCAACTCGTCGGCCAAGCATGTCCCACACGTGCTCTACTTTATTCAAGTCCGGTGAGAATGCCGGCCAGCCCATACGGGTGATATCCTCCGATTGAAGGCATTCGCTTACGATGTTTGCACGGTGAGGACGGGCGTTGTCATCCATAAACAAAAATTGTGCGCCCATGGCACCCGAAACAAACGTATATGGTGTTCCAGAATGGCGTCCCGATGGATTTGCCTTGTCACGTTTCCTATTTGAACATGCAGGTCAGTTCTGGAACACAGAATAATTCCACCCCAAACGAGTAACTCCTGCACCACCGTAACGGTGTCGTTCAATGATGTTTTCTTGGTGGTAAAGGGTACCTGAAACTCTCCATATGAAAGCCCGGCGAGAATCAGACTGCAAGCTAAACCTGGACTCGTCGGAAAACATCACACAAGCCCACTGTTGCGGTGTCCACAAAGCATGCTCTCTACTCCAATCTAACCGCAGGCGACAGTGAGTTGTAGTAAGTGGAACGCATCTGACAGGTCTTCCAGCATATAGACCAATCTTCCCTAAGCGTCTGTACACGGTCTGCCTTGAAATTATCGTACCAGTGGCTGAAGAGAGCAGACGAGACAGGTCTGAGGCTGTGCTCCGCCTGTTTCTTTTGGCAGTAACTGCCAAATACCGGTCCTCATTCGGCGTTGTAACTCTGGGGCGACCTGTTCTGTAACGTCTACTCACATTACCATCATCTTGGAATCGTTGCCAAAGCCTGGAGATGACACTCTGGGCAATTCCAAGTTCGTCTAATACTTCCAGTTGGGTACGCCCACATTCCAGACGGTCAATAATTCTGCCCCGTAAAAAATTCTCCAAATGCGTCCTTTGTGTCATAACTATTCGGTTATTGCACTGAAATGCTTATAAAGCGCCTGCGAACAATTTTACTTCTTTGCCTGTATTCCTTATATATCACTCTCTTACACTCTCGTCATTGTGACGTACCATTGGTGTCATCTGGTTACTTCCTGAAATTTGCATATGATTCTTGAAGATGTGTGTAGTGATTTTATAGGTGATATATTTATTTTAGAGTTCGATTTCCGCGTGACTCCGAATTATCCTTAATTTATGGACATGAGTGTAATATAGAAATAATAAATGAGGAAGTAATTGTTATTTTTCTTTGTTTGACCGTTTCATAAAAGAAGCCTATTTAAACTTATATGAGCTTGTCATGGCTCCAAATTTTAGGAGCTGTTGTGCAGATTTGCATGAATATTCAAATATTTTTTAGTAATAATTTTGTAAATTACAGTTTAAATAAGTACTTTTTTTATTAAACTGAAGAAATTCAGTACATAGAATTTAATTTGAACCAACTTAAATATTAGGAGTTGGACTAATTCTAAATTTTCTCAAATTCGAGCTTTAAAAAATTCTGGCGTTCTTCAAAATAAAATAAAATAAAATTTAAAAAAGTTTTTACTTGACATTGAAAGTATTTAAATTTGAAATTTGAGTATAATTTTCAATACAAATTTAAGAATCCAATTTTTAAAAATGCAATTTACTTGTTAAGAATATAGAAGTGAAATTTAGTGAATAAAGTACATAATTAAAACGATTAATTTTGAAGTTAATTTTCTCTATATAAGCTGATAAAATATTTGACAACTCAAATTTTAATTTACATTAAATTTAATTTTTTAAATTGACATAAACAGAACAACGTTGAATAAGTTATATCTGTTTTTTAACTTGTGAATAAAGCGAGATATGCTTACGTTGCACAACTTAAGTTACTAGAAACTTCGAAACAAATTGGTAGCGGATTATCTATGTCCATAATTATCGACACGATTGCTTAGATAGCGGAGCACAGCATTACTTGTAAATTACGGCAGATTTCGTCAACACGTTGAAAACGTGGGACTGGCCCTGAAGTGCGCCTGAGTGATGATGTTGATTCAAATAGCTACTAAAATAGCACTTAGGGTTCGTTTTTTAACGAACTTTTCGATGGACATCAACGAAAGCAACGCTTTGAAAATTTTGAGTTAAATCGTTTCATGGGATTTTAAGTTAGTGTATGAAATCAATCTTTCATATATTAACTTAAAACCAAGTGAGAAAAAATGCGCAAAGATTCATGTTTTTGAATCTATTTTTCAAGAAGCCGAGCCTTTGAAACGGCATGCGTAATTCGTAAAACATATAGGAAATTAGAAATGAGATTGATGAAATGAACACTAAATGCCGGTTGATTAGCCTTTGAAGGAAAAAAAATATATAAATTCTTATAAAATAGCCCAAAACCTTAATAGTGAGCCCAACTTCTTTTACGTCCTAGTAATGAAAAAATAGATTAATCAAAAAATAAATAAAATTTAATATTAAAAGGAGAGAAAATCTGTGAAATTCCTTCTAAAATTGAATATTAAAAGGAAGAAAAACTACGACATGACGCACTATGTTATATTTTCGAAATACGTCTCGGTCCAAACAGCGTAATTACGTGATGACCAACCAAGGTCGCGAGGAATGTAAACGTAAAATCTTACTTCACAATGCCACTAAAAAAATCTATAATAGTAGAAAATGACATATTAAAATTTTTTAATCAGTCTTACTTTAAAAGGGGCTAACTGTTGTTATAATCTGTGAAATTTCAAAACGCTATGAAACGGTGCCCTATTTTTTAGAATGGGAGAATTAAAAACCTAAACAGTTAACGAAAGTTATCGAGCTGTTATTGAAAAATCTCCAAACATAGTAAATTACGTTCAAACTCCACTTAAACGAAATATTTCCACTATATCTGATGGCGCAAACAAAGAAATTCTGAAATTATTTGTTCGTTTTGAAATCAAAGATATGCGTTAAAAATCCACAGAACATCGTTTCAACATTGTATCAAAAATTTAAACGAAATTATGAAAAAAATTAGGAGGCCTCTCAATCTCTGCGCTGTGCGACGAACTCACATGCTTACTTACAGATTCTTCATTTTATACTAGTAGACGTTTGCGAGATTCGAGGTTTCATATTCCCATCTCTATTAAAATTATCGCAATATGAACGCTATGTAAAAATTAATAATTTTTTTATTACTTAGTGATGATGTGGAGTCCGATCTTGGCAAACAGCTCAAAGAACGATGGGAGAAACTCTTGGAGAAACTCAAGGACCATATCGAGAAAGGAAAGGAAGTTCGAGAGGACATGATCAACAAGGTAGTTTTTAAACAGCTATGTTTATGAAATTAGATTGAAAGAGAACGAATTTCTAATTATTTAGAAAACTTCAAAATATATCTGGCGCACTTTCAAATAGAAAATATAATTTGCATCAATGCCGCCAAAATAAAATTTGTAATTAACTTTTGAGTTTAAGTTCATATAGGAATTTGACGAGAGCTGAATTTAAAGTGTATTATATACTTCTCCATTAATTGATATAATTATCTTTGATTTTATGCTGTCTTTAAAAATTAAATTACACATTTAATATTATTTTTGAAGTACTGTAAAGACCATATTCTATTAGAACTGGAAATGGATTCTTGAATTAATAAATAAGAACAATAAGATTGATTTCATATACTGCTCGGTCCATATGTACGTTAATTTTACACATATTAATATTTATTTTAATTGTAGAAGTTTATTTGTGTCTTGTATGTTGATTAATAGTCACAAATTGTTTTTGCAATTAATAGCAAAAATAGTGCGTTTTAACAGCAATAATAAAAAAGGTAAAAAGCTTAATATCTATTATGAATACCTATATAAAACCAGAACAATTCATTCACCTTTTTTACCAATTAAAAATAAATTTCCATAACTATTTGCTGCTATTAACATTTTATTCTAAATTAAAATTAAAAAGGGAGTTTATTAATCATTGATTGATATTTCTCAAATTTATTAAATTAACAAATGTAATGTATCGCTTAATATTTCAGATTGAAACTAAGGCAAACTACTTAAGTAACGGAGTAATGAATATTCTTTATTTTCCTTAGCTGCAGAATGACTAAAAAGTTCTATAGTTTTGAGGAAAACTAATTGTTCAGTGTTTTGAATTTCTGTAGTTGTAAAACCTAGCATACTGTGTTTCCTAAATTGATTAACACGTAAAAAAATACTAAAGAAATTAACGATCTTTCATCCAAAGTATAATTTTGCCTATCACTATATACGAATATTTTTTAAGAAATTAGTTACACACCCTTTAGAAATTAGATAAATATCATCATCACGAAAACGACCATATCTTTCTTAATCTAATTTAGGCAGTTTATTTTGTTTTGTATGACTATTTTTAAAATTACAAATTAAATTTAAAACAAACTTTTCCTTGCCCTAGCTGAAAGAACTTCGCGAAAAAATGAAAGACATGAAGGTCGACTTCACAAAGAAAGCTAAAGAAATCTACGAAAAATTGAAGGAAAAAGCAAAGGATTACTGGCAGAAAATCTTGGACAAATTTACCAAGGACGAAGACGTAGCTTCAGCGTACGTAAAATATAAACAGCTTTTAAATAATAAATTCCTTTATGTAAATAAGTGCAAAATATTATATTAATTCTGATACTTTTACTGTTATTTACAGTGATGAGAATGTTAAGGATGAGATGGTAAAGTCTTTGAGGGAAGCTCTTGACAAAATCCTGGACAAAATTAAGGAAGCTATTGAGCAAGGCAAAGGACTCAAAGAAGATTACTCTGGAAAGGTGTGTTTCTATAAAATAATGGAAATCTGTCTTAATTAAAACCTGTCTTATTAACCTTGTAAAGTTGCGCGCTTCCAATCTGCACGCAACAAAGAGGTGACTGCTGAGAACTGAAAATAGACCAAAGTCTTGAGAAGGGTTTAAATCCCTTTTTATTCAACTTTAGAAATTACAAATGCGGGCTCTTGACGCTCACAAACTACGCCGACGCGGCGGTAAAATAAAAATAAGAAACTAAGAAAAGAATAGTAACAAGTGACTAACTACGAGGCTCTCTAAACGTAACTAACCTCACCGCGTTCTAAGATACCGCTGATAATTCAGCAAACTCTGAATATTACGTTGAAAGATTAACAAACTGCCGAGGCAAGCACACAGGCCGAAACGCGTGGTTCTTCGATTTCTAACTAGCCACCTCCACGCTCGTGAAGCAAGAAAGCACACCTTCGAACTCGTTTCCTTTCTATTTAACTCAGAATACTTCCGCTGATAATTTGAATCCTTGAGCGTTCTACTAAAATTTACATACTCTGGCATTGGCAGTTCCTGGGGAAAGTAAGGCTTGACAGGAAAGATAGTTTAAACTTAAAATAAATGTTAGTTAAAATAAATATAAACCCTACAACCTTTCTTAATTATTGCACGAAAGGCTCTCCCAAATGAAGTCTTTTTGAATTTGTCTTTTTATGAGGTTAAAAAGAGGGAACCCATTTCAGACTTTTTTTCAGACTAAAGCATAAACGCGATGGGACATAACAGTGAAATATGTATGCAGTAATGTCACAACAACGGTCTCCCCTTGAATCTTCATGCTCAAACACAATGTTAATGTCACTGGTCTAAGAGAGTAAATACGAAAAGATTTTAATGAAGTAATAACATGCTGTAAAGCCTGTGATATCATTTCATCCAGTTTCTTTCCTTAAATATCTGCCTTCCCAAAAAATATCTTCGTACTAATTATAACGAAGAAGGAAAGTAGATAGTAAGGCTGAAATAGCATGATTTTTTTATGCCCGCACTTTGAACATCTGCACGAAAAAAGAAATATCCTTTTTAGCAGCATTCAGAAAGTCTGTAGTAGAAAAAGATGAAACTACTCAACACTCTCATTAAGGTACTTGATGAAATTCAACAAACTATTTAATTTTTGACTAATATCAATAAATTGAATTCTGAGACTTGATTGTTAACATGGGGAAAGATTTGGTATGAAAATTAAGGAAATGAAGTTTATATTTTGTTTTTGATTACTTTTACATAAAGACTTTAAAAAGGATAACCTTCGAATACAGCAATGAAAAAAACATATGCTGATTGTTTTTAAAAGAAAATAATTAGCAGGTTATTTGATATTTAATTAACTTTTATCTCTAAAATTAAAATCTGTAAAATAAAACTACATTTATTTTTCAAGTTTTTCAAGAAAATTCTTTTAATTCCATTATCGTTTTCAGCAACGAAAATATTACGGAGTTTGAAATTTTGAAAATAGAATTTTCTTTCAGAATGCTTTTAATTAGCAACAGAACTCATTTTTATATATTACGTAAGGAACAAATGACTTTTTAAATTAAAACAGAAAATTAAAAACACCGCATATTTCGTTAAATGCTGCTATACTTTCAGTTAGCATAGTACCTTTAGATATCTAACAATATAAAAAAAGAATCTTAAGTATAAATTAGCCTATCTTGTGATACGTAATCTAATACTTAATTCGGTCGCTCTTATTTTATTTATGAATTGAAACTAATCGTAAAAATATATGCTTCTTTTTAAAATCGAAGCTTTTATTTATCTATAAGGTTTATAAAAATTTCCGATGCATTAGAATCAATGTATAAAAGTAAATATTTGATTAAATTTGCTTTTTAAGTAAAAATGCTGAAAACTGTAAGTAATATTTAAGCTATAAAAATAATGACTTTACAATGATTAATAATGTATTCAAAAAGTTTGAATCACCAATTTTATCATTTGAATGTTTGGTAGGTTGGTCTTAAAAATCCATGCTTCATCTTCACAAAATACTTAAAACAATGTTTCAAGGAATTATAATTACCAGAGAGCGTTAAATCTCCCCTTTTTTCTTCCCTTCGAAAGCTCAAGATTATTTATGTTTTATGGGATCTACTGAGGAAACTTTAAACGAGAAATATGTGTTCCTTTCTTCCCAAAAATCGAGAGATCATGATCTAATCTAAAATAAAAATATTTATAGCATCATGTAA